TTCTTGTGTAAAGACAATTCAATGCACCACAATAATCTTGGATCTATGGATTAATTCTAAAGTAAAATCTGCCACAATCGCAGTTATGTTTGGTTAATAAAAGTAAGCAAGTTTTGATAGTTTCTCACTAACTTATAAATTATGAGCGGATATATAAAATGGGATTTTTCAGCGTACAGACCAAGTTTAATGAGTATTTATACTAATCACTCATTCGTTTTTTTGGTAAATGGAGAATTAATACTGATTTTATTAAATTTCGTATTGTATATTAATTTTAGATATCCGAGTCACATAGTTTTTTGTCAATTTGGAATCCATGCCAGCATTGGTACAGGATGATTTCTACTCTGATTTACAAATCTAAGTTTAGAAGTCGTAACCGAAACGTTCAACTTGACAAAATATAAATAAATTGTTCTCAGTACGCCAAGATTCATAAAAAATTGCAACATTGGTATTTATGATTTTTGAAACTCTGATGAGAATTTCCGAATTTTGATTGTGGAAAATGGGATAAATAGGTTTCTAAGTAACAATATGTGTGAATTTCCTTTTCGAGTATGGTTACAGCTCTGTTGATGGTACACCCAAAACATATTTGATAATTTATGATAAAATATCCGATTTTTATGAATATCTCTGTGCAAATGTGCACAAAAATTATAGTGAATGACCCCCCCAAATAAAAGTCGGGTCATTTGTAATTTATTCTAGAGAAAACATCACTTTTGTTTAAAGCAACCTCGATTACTTAAACTTTTGGGTGCAATCATACACCAACATAAGTTAGAGTGTAGAATAAAAGTACTAACTCTGTACATGCTTGGAATTCGAACAACTTTTAAGAAGACTTAAAAACAAACGAATTGGTCCCAGTGTGATAAAACATAATTGTTCTAGAGAAAAAAATAAATCCAATCTTTGAAGCTTGAAGTCAAAAACTTTACTTTTTCGAGTTTTTTTGGTAAAAAATGACTGATATCCTGTATGCATTTTTAACCTTAAGGAGTTATAAAAAAGGATAGATATCGCTATTTGAAATTATATACTATAATTGATAATATATAATGATATAATTATAGTTGATATTAAAAATATAAATTGTGGACAGGTTGTGAATATACTTTGGTTCTGTCTAGATATATTCGGTGTAATATCATTTATTAAAATCTTCAAAGGCAAAGAGTCAAATGAGAATCTCAAGTTATGTCGTCGATAAATGTTTCAAATTATGACATTCACAAACAAAAATATTATCAAAAATTTTTCGCGAAAAAAAATACACCAATTATTGAAAATGAATCGCTGTCACCCTATAACAAATTGGTATGGACCTACTTTGAAACTATTCTGTGCTACACCAACTTCGTACAAATTTCTTTTGGGCTGCGTCAGTTCGAGATGGAAGAAAAGAAAAATCGAAAAATTCTTACGAACACAAAAAATATACACATTATTGAAAAATTACACAATAAATGTCAAAGTAATAAACATCAGGATCCATAGAGAATTAAGATTACATCAAATATTATTGTTTTTCATATTATTGTTTATTATTGTTTTTTTAAGTATATACCAAATTAACTATAACGCAATATTTTAAAAATCAGATTGGAGGATGTATGAATCACAAAAGGAACTTCTTGAAATACTAACGTTGAATAATAATGTATACATCGAAAAAAATTATTTTTCATAAATTTTTCAAAATACAAATTTATAGCTTGAGCGTAATACCAATAAGTGATGAATAAACAATTAAATGGGAATTCAAACAAAATAATCTTCTTATTTCTTGCACACAAAATATCGGCAATAAACTAACAGGTAAGGCGTGGAAATCATGTGATTGTTTAGTCGAAATGCAGTTGAATTAGCTTGGAAGAATCTATTTTGATGGCATGATGTGCCAAGATCGTAAGTATGATTTATTAATAAAAAAAATCTAGCATTCAAACCGCTGTATATAGAAACGTTTTTTTTTTCAAATTCTAACAGACTATAGCACATTCTGACTTATTTCTCATTTGGGTGACTTGGGAAGTAGTTTTACCTATTTTCATATGGTAGTCCATACTACTGGTGTCGTTCGTAATTTATAACATGAATATTATTTAAGTCGTAAATTAGTAGAATTGTCAAAAATGTGCTTTCAGAGCTCAGTCACATGGACAATTTAGGATCTTTAAATTTTGACAGAGAATCCAGCGTCTGTTGAAGAAGAGTATTTGTACGTTCAAATTCTTTTTAATCCAAAGTTGCATTTTCAAATATAGAATTATACAAGTCGAAAAGATATAGTTAAAGAGTTTATATTATGACTGTAAAATTTATGTGGCAAACTCATCAACTTGAAATAAAATTCATAAAACAGAAAAAGAAAAGTTCAGTTATTTTGTTGCCTTTCAAATGTGTTAAATTTAAGTAGTAATAACAATAAATAATAAAAGCGATACGCAAATATAGATACATAACACATCTACAAAATTTTTATTGGTTTTATTTTTTTGTTATAATGACACATATGGATACAGATACACACATCTACAAAATTTTTATTGGTTTTTATTTTTTTGTTTTAATGGCACATGGGGATACAGATACACACATCTACAAAAATTTTATTTGTTTTCAATTTTTTGGTATAATGACACATAGGGATACAGATACACACATCTACAAAAATTTTATTGGTTTTTATTTTTTTGTTATAATGACACATATGGATACAGATACACACATCTACAAAATTTTTAATAGTTTTCATTTTTTGTTATAATGAGACATAGGGATACAGATACACACATCTACAAATTTTTATTGGTTTTTATTATTTTTAGAATGACACATAGGTTTACACACACCTTAAAAAATTTATTGCTACCTATTTTTCGTTATAATAAAACATAGTGAAACAGATACACACATCTACAAAAATATTTGTCCCTAATTCTTTTAAAATGATGAAACGATAAGCTAAGTGAAGTGAACCAGTCAACTACAATGTGAACATAGCAAATAGGTTTCACAAAGTCATGTTTGTACAGTGATATTACTATGATTTGCAAAACAACATCCAGCAATTTTCATATGTTATTTCAATTAACCTGACAAAATCATCAATTCTTTTTTCAAGCAACGAGCAGTGATCCGAGGACAACATCTTTCAATTTATCTATCTATTACATTTGATTCAATCCATAAAAATCTTTATAATTTTGCATATATGCTCTAACTTGAAGTTAGAATCAGGGAAAAAGTTCGAGAGATGTAAAATTCAATAACAGAACAATTTCTGCCAGAAAACATTAAAATCGATAATCTGTAACATGAAATAAACATGTTCATCAAAAAATGTTTAAACGTTTTAGTGAGTTTCTATGTTTTCTTAATCTGACGAAAAGAACATAAATTTTGTTGCCGTTCCTTTTAAACACTGATTTCGCATTGAATTGGGGTTTGAATTTCTAAAAAATAAAAAATAAATTAATTCATTGCGTGGCTTCGGTGTGGATAAACGATGGGGCAACATGTTGCGAACAATGGGCGTAAAACTATAAATCTGATTTTCGAGCGGTTTCCATTCCATGTCGATGTGGCCTAATCTAATCATTGGGTTGTGAACGCATTGAATTGGGGTTTGAATTTCTAAAATAAAAAAAAATTAATTCATTGCGTGGCTTCGGTGTGGATAACGATGGGCAACATGTTGAGAACAATGAGCGTAAAGCTATAAATCAGATTTCAATTGAAGCGAGGCCTAATCCAATCATTGGATCGTGAATCAGAAAAACGTGTTGAAATCTTTTTAAAGTTAATAGAAAAAGATGAATATGCGGTTAGTACCTACGACTCTTTGTAATGGCGTTGTTAAATTTTCCATCTGTTGTCGTGAACCACTCTGAACATCTCTTCTATTCGTACTTGGTTTCTTCGCATCTTTAAAATGAAAAATTTAGTCATTTTCCGAGTTCCTTCATATTCGTTCATTTGACACTTTGAAGCAACAGTAAAGATAACATATCTATCGCACTTCATTCAGCAATATTACTGTACAAGATAATAAAAAATACAAAAATGGCAATGAAATCTTTAGCACTGAAAGCCGCAACAATGATTAGCAGGATTCGTGAACTAAAGATAGATTACATGCATGTTCACCTCTTGAATGGAAATGATTTTTTTTATCCCTATGTAGAAAAAGGCCGATAAAATGGCTTAATCATAATCTCGTTCGTTACCAGTCCGTATGGAAATAGAATTATTTAGCCAGTTATTTATTTCCAGCATGAACTTGATGGTGGAAAAATACGAAACTGAACAGCAATACGTAAACCACCCTACGGTCGCGAATATGTCAGCATTCTTCTTTATTATCTTCCAACTGATTTGAACGCGCAAACGGTAAACAGAGGTGCTGAAGCAAAGGTATTCCTGCCGTCCAGAACGATGCGCCACACCGCCTGTATCTGAACAAAATCCTATTTATCCTTTTTATCACCCACATTAGTCATGTAATAAATATATCAGTACAGTCACATACATCAACCAAATCATTGAATTGAGGTTACGAAACTCACCACGAACACATCGTCCCATGGTATTTTCGTAAATCCAAGATCTGACGGGTCTTAGTTTCTCCCACACGTAATCAGGGCCATCAGAATATAGGAAAGGATTGAGACCGCTGTTGATCGGAATAATAACCAAACCTACAGGAACGTATGCATCATATGGTATGTTGATGCCTGGATAGAGAGAAAGATAACGTATGCATAATATGATATTTTGATGCTTTTATAAAAAAAAAGATATTCTAGTGTAACAGATTAATCACGCATTAAAAAATTTAAATTCATTCAAAAATTGATTTAAAATAAAATTCTTGAAGACGGTGATTTTACATAAAGTCGTCTCACCAGAAACTTGTAAAAGCCCATTATGCAGACAGGCATCCAGCAGAGAAAATCAGTGAGAATAATCCGACTAATTTTTTGTTGCATTTTTATTGCTCTTTCTGCCTTAATTTGTCGCTGACGGCAGCATTCTTTTCCTGTGTTTTCCTGAAACATTTAAAAATCAATAAACCAAGTCAATCCATTTATCTCTCGGACTGTCCCTGTTAACATGTTTACTGCTATTTAATATAACAGAAAAAAACTGCGGGTAAGGTTTTTCATGCCAGAAACGAGAAGTATTACCAACAGACAAAAAGTGATTGCCTGGAGTATGGAAAAAGCACCTGCAAACGTACACTAAGTTCATGGTAGTGTTACTAATAAATGTGACAATGATGTCTGTCTTCTCCTTCCCCCTGTCTCTAAATTTTTTATCCTAATGATGAATTTATTTGTAAAATATATATTTTATCCTGCATTAGCCATATCTCAAAAAGATCAGCTTCTTTTATCTTTGATATATTTTCTAATCGATAAATATTACAAACACACCTGTATATTTTGACGTATCCGATAAAGATGACGAAGAATGCCAAAAAGTTCACGATCAGGATGAACAGTGAATACAACCAAGCAGTGTCAGTATCAGGGTTTGGGAACAAAGTGGGAAGGCAAACTCCGTGAGTGGAGTAATATCCAAACCTACGTTCAACCTTGTATGTCGAATTTAAATCGCTGATTAGAGATTCTAGCAACGACCATGTTCCAAGTTTTCTAAATAAATAAAAAGGATTTGTTATACAAACGATATTGTTACAACACATGTTCAACCGCTGGTGGCTGGTATAAACCCATCACTTTATCGAGTGAGAAATTGGGCAGCTTGAACGTTCGTTTTTTTGAATCGAATCTCCTGATTTTTATATGGGTCTTTAGAGAAAGTTTCGTTAAAAGAGAAAAAGTGCTTAAGAAACCTGATCATAATAAACATTAAATTGAAAATCATTTTTTTCTGAAAAATAATATAGAATAGCAGTTCGTACTCACTTTTCTATAGCTGGATCATCTTCAAATCTCTGTTTTGTTAGAAGTGCACGAGACAAATTTTCAACATCGTTTTTATTTATAGTTGAATACAAAGGATGTCTGTCGTACCTAAAATATTTCAACCAGTCAACATGTCTGGTTTGTACTATGAAAGCTTATTCTAAACATGGAATGTTTGTTCAAAAAGATTAAGAGTTGACTTAAAATATCAAGTCAGTTCTCAATAGGTTATGATAAGTTTTATGGTATATGCCACTTTACCCAGTTTTGATCAAGAATGTCGCTATTAACAATTAAAGACTACTATTTCTATTACGAATAAAAGATCGGATCTTCTTACTTATACAAGTGTTGCTTTTCACTACCAAGCAAACGTTTGTGTCTAAAAAGCAACAAATTCTACTTTCTCACCAAATGCTGTCGATAAAAAAGTCCTGAGTAAAATTGAAGACCGGAATCAATCCCAACAAGATGCAAATTACCCATGAAAGTGCCATCAAACATGCGATCATCTTCATTGATGTTTCTTTTGCAAAAGGCCTGCCAAAACAAAACTCAAGAATTTTTATTGCTCAACTAAATAAAATTCACTTTATTTTATGTTTGTTTTTATTTATTTACTGTATATTGTAGACAATCGAGGATGAAAATGTTTCAAAAATAGCATGGCTTGTGTAAAAGCATATAAACAAATTTACCTCAGTACAGTTTTCATTCGAAATCCTGTAATAATGGTTAGAGTAAATACAGAATTTTCTGATCCAATCAAAAGCAGAGTTCCAAGAGCAGAACACGTGGAACCACTTCGCCATTGTCTGTCCGTTTTACAATAATTCTTTGTTATTGTTGCATTCTTGATGCAAATGGCCAATGTATATATCTGTAAAATAGTATGACATTTATTATTTGTTATGAACTTAAATTCAGATCAAGTATTTACAAGAAATCTCGATGTATTCTTTGAACAATATTAGATGAGTACATCATGATAAATCAGTTCGCTAAGATTTCTTAAAAATAACGAAATGCTAAGTTGTTGAAATTAACAAAAAAATGCTATAGTCATATTTAGCAGAAAAATTGAATACATTTATATATAGTTTTAAATCAGCAAAGTTCGAATAAATAAGAGTACAGGGATAATTATACTAAATATTGTTCACTTACCCCTACAAGTAAGTCCGAGAGTGATAAGTTAAATATCAAAGATTTGTTGATTAATTCAATCTTTGAAAGTTGTTGTTTAGGAAAGAAGATGTTTCGAATTGATCTGCTTGCCACGAATAAATTTCCAATAACAGCAAACAAACCTTCATGAAAAGTTAACATATATGAGATATAGCCAATAGCCAAGCAATACAAGACAATCTGTCAAGAATAGAGCTTGGCACAAACATTAAAGCTAAAGTTTAATAATTTTGGAAAAGAAATGATTATAAACACAAAAAATAAAATTAATAAAATAAAATAGTATAATATATTTTTTATTCTCTAGAAATTGAAATAATTGTTTTCAAAGTAACAATAATATATGAGATGCTGAGTTGAAATTCGAAATAGTATTCATCATCATTCATAGTCAATACGATCAAAGATAATCGAAGCTACGTATGTTTATTCTATTTCATAATGTATAGGATTAAATCAGTTAGCACACTGCATGATGAGACCAATGACCAAAAAATCCAAATTAAAATTTTCCATGAGAAATTCAGGAAATCACAATATTCAAATATCATGAAAACCTAAGAAATTACTTTCAATGGACGAACTTTAAAATATAGATAACTCACTGATCATCCATGTAAATGCAACAAAGTATTTGTTGCTTATCATTAAATCAATATTGGAGAAAGCACTAGAAATACATCTGTCAAGACATTCATCAACACCGCTTTGCAGTCTCGCTTCCATCGCAAATCTACTCAGTCAAACAAGAAATTTGGATTTATTTACATAAAATCCAACCGTTAAATCTAGACATACAGGACACATAGCGTAGATATTGAACAAATGGTTTGTAAATTTAAGAAATAAATTAATTGAATCTCAATTTTGAAGGTGTCACCTTGCAGAAATAAACAAATAACAAAACTGTTATTAATATAAGCGATAGTATCTTGCATTAACAAGAATAGCGTTTATAGCGTCAAATGTCATAGATAGAGCTTTCAGTAAACTGCTTTATAAACTCGGATTATATGACGAACCTGTTTTTTTGCTATGAATTTTGGTTCTCCTGTATCATTGCAGTAGAAATGGGTTTTATTACTACAATCCATTTCATCGCTTGAATCTTCGCAATCCTGTTATTATACATGGAGAAATATAATCATTAGCTATTCATTTTTAGTATCTCAGCTTATTCAATAAAGTAATGTGATTTGGGGGCAAGTTCATGGCCTATCAATTCACCAAATGATCATGAAATTGGTCTGAATTCGTTTAGATACCTTCATTATCAAAGTACAGCAAACTTCGTTTTACTTCTAGTCGTAAAGGATTCTGTAGACCAAACTATGCAAAACACCCCACACAGAAATTTCATTTTCAATAAACTAAAATATCACAAACATAGATTTATGAACGTTGTAATATTCAGGGATCTATAAGATACTATTCGCCATGGGTATAAAACATATATATATATTTTAACTTCAAATAGATCGAATCTTTGCAACCCATAGTTCTAGGCAAAAATATTCTGGGGTTTAAATTTACCATATTGGCTATTGAATTTTCTGTGATATTCGAATATTTCAATTCTGATTAAATTTTCACCTTTTGATTGTTGCACACCGTCCTATTTAATACATGCAATCTAGATCCTGAATTGCAATAAAACCTGCAAATAAACATATTATTAAATATTATATGTAACTAAAAATATTAATACAAGAAATCTGTTTAATTTCCGGGATTGCGATATCAAAATCTTTGGTGATTCCATTTGTAGTGAAATTTCTTTATTTCTACGAGATGTTGTAGTTAAGCAGCTTGTTTTTGAGTATTTAATTGGCAATATCAAAAAAAAAAGGCTGATTGCAAAATATTCGAACGTTTATTGCGAAAATATTTCCTCTGACTGAAAACACAACATAACCAGAAAAATACCTATTTGGACAACTTTTTTCGTCTTCTCCACCAACGCAATTTTCTATTCCATTGCAAATTTGATTATGATAGATCCATTCTCCGTCATCGCACACATAGAAAAACCTGCCAACAAAAATTCTACAATAATTTTCACTCGATGTCAAGGCATTTGCGGTTTACATATATATTGATCATATGGGTTGTCCAGCTATGTAGTATTGTGGGAATAGACATATCTGCTAAATGAATACATTTTTGAGCTCATAAAGTGCTTTAATCAAGAAGATAAATAACTATTTAACTCAAGGTCATATCCCAACCCTAAGCCCGATTATTTTCATATTCACATTACAATCACTAACACAATAGATTCTACAAGCAATACGCATTCAAACCTGATAAAATACCCTTTTAGATTTAGAATATATTAATTAAAAAAATATGGACGTTATCTTGAGACATGAATTGGAAATACAAATACGAGAGAAATAAATTCTGTAAGTGAAGAGAACATAAAGTAAATCGAATTGATCACCCGTCTTCATGGGAAGGAGTAACTAACAATGTAAAGTTTTATGTGCGTCTTTTTTTGATAAACTGCTCGAAAAAAGTCGCCGATTTATGCAATAAATGATGATTTTATATTTGCCCTAATGAAAAAATCTAAATGTAATCAATTTTTTTGAGTTTTTTGGCCGCAATTCTTTTTTTTCTTGTTTTGTTGCTTGTTAATAGTTGTTTGAATATCAGCAAGAAATCAATGATAGCTTGCTCTACACATCAAATAGTCAGATGGTATGAAATGTTAGCCAGAACAACCAAAGTTCTTGAACTTTATCTTTCACTTCCGGAATCAAACGAATCAAGGTGACGAATACTTGAATACTGGCACCATAAAGATATATGGCACGTGTTCCACTTGATTCGGTCTCATTCAATTATCAGCAGAAGTGCAGATTATCTTGCACCGAGGGGGACAGGCTATGGCAACTCCTATGTTCATTATTGAGAAGAAAGATTATTTACATTTCGTAATTTCCTAGAATATTTATTATAGCATTTCGCTCAAAAAAGTGAATCCGAAATTGTACAACACCAAGAAAAATAACCGACAGAGAAAGAGTTCAACTAAATGTACATCGCATATGTCAGTTCCAATAAGTGATACGTCATATATGCCGTACATTCTAGGTTACCAAATAAGCTAATTCAGCTGCACAAAAACTATCCTGAACATATTGCACTGCGATGTTGAAAGATAGGCAATGGGATTTTGACCAATCATTGGTGTGATTTACACAACAAAATGCCTCTACTGGATGTAAAATCTTTGATATTATTGTTTCCTGTTCTTCATTGTTCCATTTTTAACTGGATGAAATAACAATCTGACGCGTAGGTTCTAGATGTAAATTTGAGTTTTTGGGACATAAACACATTCGCGTTTACAACTTAATTAGTGCAACATAAAATATTTGTGACTGTGTCACGAGGAAAATATTCAAAATCTCGAAATATATTGTCCATTGCACATTAGTTTTTTTTTATAATGAAACGAAAATTTTGGACAATAAATACGTGTTCCCATTCAGTTATTTATTGAAATATAGGGAAATAAAGTTGGTTGCATTTGATGAAAGTCGCAAGCCGAAAACAGGTGTGAAGAGTCAGAGGAAATTTGCGGGCATAACAGGCTGTAAGTTTTCAACCAGATAAAAAATGCAAAGACACTGTGAGTAGGAATTACTTTTGTTTATTCTGAATAGAATTGCTTGGGTCTAAATATCTTTGCTGAGACATTTTTAAGCTAGAAGGCACTCACAAACTTGTATAAAGAGATCTTCAACAGTTTTGTTTCCACTGTTACTTTATTATTATGATCATTGTACAAGAGAAGGGGTGAAAATAAAGATTGTGAGCGACAAATACATTGCACTAGCGCGCTCAGTGAGAGGCAAGCTTTATAAATGAAAATATATGTATATTTGAAGTCTTTGTTTAAAAAAGTTTTATAAACAAAGTAGGTTTGACATTATCCTGATATGCGTCTTGAACGGTAGATAGGCCTCGTATCATCAACTGCCGCGGCGATAATTCAAATTTTGTAAGGTGTCATACAACAACATCGTTATTTATCATCGGCATGCTGTTTTTATAGCTAATGTATATATCGCTGGTTATAACATCGCGTCATTTACAAATATGAGTTGTCGTGACGAAATACGCATTAAATTGATATAGATGGCTCTAAGCTAGATGGCGAGAGACCCACAAGACCTCGTTGAAAATTAATTGATTAAAATCATTTAAATTATTTGAAACTAATAAAAGTTGCCATCATTTACATACAATAATAAAGAAAACTCGTTGTCGAACGCAGCCAATCAAATGAGGGTTATCCACCTCAAATAAGCGGCGAAGCCAGGGTGATTTTCGATTTCATTTTTTGGAAGACGGATGATTTTTTGCTAAAACAGCCGCTTGTATTAATGAGTGTAATGAGCTTATTTATTATATTTGGCGGCCACAAAACCCAAAAGATAATAAAAGGAGTCAATTCACAACAAAGAACACCTTACATTTTGTTCTGGGAACCGCGACTAAAACGCTATTTTAGACTCTGGAAATAGCTAAAAGTTCGCATGCCTACAGGACACAGTATTGGATTTCCACTGGGAACTATACACAAATCCCTGAAGTTGGAACACTGTTAATTCAGCGAGCTATGTATCTTTATAAAACATTCTCAAATTACCGTCAATAGGCCCTCTCCCGGATTATAATGATGTAATATATCAAGACTGTTTTGTACTACAGCATACAATAATGGTATATCCTGGGATTTATTGCTGTACTGTGCTGAAGTGGAGTCAGTGTTTCTAGATTAGCTCTAATTTGACAAATTCGCAAATCCGAAAATTACTAATCAAAACCGGGGCAGTTTATCACTAATTTACGTTTGATAATTGCCGTTTGTTTCGGAGTAGTAATGCTTTGATTATGTTGAAGGTCGACGCAAGTGCTAATTACTATTACCCTAATTAAATTTAATATGGTAAAGAATTTTAAATGTCCGTCACGATCATCGATTGAATATTTTCGCAACAAAAATCATAATCCACTAAAAAGATAAAATATTTCAACATAGTTTTATATGAGCATCTGTGTGGAATTTAAACGACAATTTAATTTTCGAACCCCCACGTTTCCTTTTGAAAGTCCTGGCGCACCTGCATCCAATAGTTCATTTTACCAGCGACACTCGTTAAGGCCAGAGCGAAAATGAAACGAGACGAATAATATTCTACGCCAAATGTTTCTATTAAATAGTTTATTCACGGCCGGGCATTTCGTTTACACCAGGGGTCGGCAACCCTTCGTCGCTCGCGGGCCAAAATTGAAGGTTGCAAGTCTTGGTGGGTCGCACAAATTTTTTAAAAGTTAAAAACCAACAATCAGCGCGCGAAGTCTGTGACAATTCGTTAACTCAACTCGGTCAAATTAAAAAAAAAATTACAGATGACATTTAATGTGACAAGTGTTGTTGCATTATGCTTGATAGCTTTTCTCCATCAGGTGGCGCACTGGATGAAGCCAAGATTAGAAATTTTCTAAATGGGCATTAAAAATCCGAGTTCTCAGCTTGTTCTTTGTAATATTCATTTTCGAAAATAATTGCTGGCACGCGTATGCACTTCCAAACATCGATGTGAATTTTTTTGCATTGTTTGTCAAATTCGGATAGCTATTTTCTTCAAGAAGATACTTTTTATAAATATCAAGCAGTGAAACAACTCTCAAATAAAATATGAATTTTA